GCGGTGGCGGTGGCGGTGGCGGTGGCGGTGGCGGTGGTAGTGGTGGTAGTGGCAGTGGTGGTGGTAGTGGTAGTGGTGGTGGTAGTAGTAGTATTGGTAGTGGTAGTAGTAGTATTAGTATTAGTAGTAGTATTAGTAGTAGTAGTATTAGTAGTATTATTATTATTATTAGTAGTATTAGTAGTAGTAGTGGTAGTAGTAGTAGTGGTGGTAGTAGTGGTAGTAGTGGTAGTAGTAGTGTGTTGGCACCCGCACAGCACTGCCTTATATAATCAACTTTTATGACATGAATGTAACTCTGTACTGTAATTGGTCATTACCTACCGCCATAAATTTCAGAAATTAATATTTACTTAGTACCAATTTTATACTAAATGCAACTTATGCCCAGTTTTGCATTAACTGTTCTAAGAATTCGCAATGAGGAATGTACAGATAAGAGCTACTAGAAGGTTCTTTAATAGTCGGCATGGTGTGTGAATGGCTACTCATCCCACTGCGTCTGATAAAAGAAACTTCCAGAATGTTCTCGAACTATGAAACAGTAGAAGCAGCTTCGAGAATGATCTGGAAAGAGAAGGTTCTGGATGTTACATCATCTCACAGTATTTAAAGGATTGATCCAGGATGGCGAAGACAGATAAGTAAGAGACAAGTAAGACATTGGCCGATCAGTGAGTGAACATGTATATTTGGTGAGATACCGGGCTGGGAGATTGACGTACATTATCTACCGTACTGTAACATAGTGTTGCGAATCTTGAAGTAGTGTACAGTGAGTGCCAAAAGTACACCTGTAATTGCAAGTGACTGCTGCTTGTAACTGTATAGTGCTGTTAATAAAGAAGTGTATTATTAATATCGAGTTGTGATCCAGAGACTTCTTCACCAGGAAGACCTCTCTCGTCCAAGCAAGGCCCATTAAGCCCTAAGAGAGAATCTCATTGCTCAACCCAGAACATTATCCTCTTTCTACCCCCAAGCACCTTGCTGTGGTTCCCAGACCATGTAATGGCGCCCTATCAACTGCAAAGGTGCAGAAGGATGGCTCAGGCAGTGATTACACGAATTCCCAACAAAGAACTCTCACAGTACTTACCTCATGAAGTGCAATCTTCACAGGTGGTACATGATTACCTTTGCTACTCTGACTGACTCTCCTCGAAGTTAAAGGGTCAAAGTCGCATTGCGACTGATGGTGAGTCAGTCTGTTTCTTTTTAGATAAAAGTTACTGTCCTGTCCGTGTGGGGCGCCCTCTCAGACAAGAGGTCGGGTCTGTCATTAGTCATAGTTGATAGTATTAGTCCATTGTCACTATGTACACTTATTTACAATTGAGTTTTAATATCTAGTATGTATAATATATACAAGGCCTCTGTCAGTCTAGTTAAAGGGTTTATGGCTGACTACTTTTATAGTCTCAAGGCAGATCCTAGAAAACACTGGTTCCTCTACTATTGCAAAAGCATGTTTACCACGCCGTTTCCTAGTAATAGAAGTATTCATTGTTGCAAGAGTGTTTAGCGACCTGTTGGCTAGCAATGGGTATGGCACGAACCACATAGAAAACAATTCTTGAAATATCATTTCTATTGTTGCATGCGCACATTTTGGGCATTGTATAGATGTGAGTCTATGTCACAATACTTTTGCATAGAGCACTGGTGATTCTGATCATATGTGAAAGGGAAGCTTTCCTTGTTTTAAGAGAACAATAACGGGATGATAATATTATTTGTTTTCCCTAAGATCTAAACTAAAATAATGAGAATTCACAACTTGTAAATGGCCACAGTAGGGCTCTGACATCACACAAATGTTTATTTTCAATAAGATATGTTACGGTCTCACAAGGCTGTCTTCATATGTAAATTATGCATAGAACTGTGTATCATTCCACAAAATTACCTCAGCAAATACTTTCTTTCCTAGGATCTGTTACCATTCATAATTTCAGATCCATAATGTCATTAAAGTTTGCGCCTGCATCATGTTATTGTTGAGCTTAGAAAATTAAAAAGTGTAGTGGGGGGAATAAAAACTTTTTTGTTATAAGTGATAGCGAATTTTAGGGTCATATTGTATGTGAACAATTTATTGTGTGTTCTGTTGACACAATTCCTATAAAAATTTAATCAATTTATGGTGATTCCACTAAAAAAACTTTAAGCCATTTGGGCCATCATCAGATAAATCATTTTATATTAAGATCCTACTTCTTATGCTGTTATTCCTGTACATTGGCCAATGTTTACAACTTTTAGGGGAAGGTCTATTGTCATTTATAGCATTAATGCCAGTTGCAATTCATATGCATATTCCCCCCCCCCATCTTGGTTTTCCTAATGGTCTACTTCCTTCTGGCTTTCCCACCAATATCCTAGATGCATTCCTCTTCTCCCCATTTGTACTACATGCCCTGCCCATCTCATCTTCCTTGACTTCAGCATTCTGATTGTACTAGGTGAAAAGTGCAAGTTATGAAGCTCATCATTATGCAGTTTTCTCCAACCTCCAGTAATTTTATCCCTCTTCAGTTCAAATGCATATTATTTTCCAACATCCTGTTTTCAAACACTGGACCTGACATATGGTGACAAATTGTTTTGTGCCTAGATTTCCAACTTCAAACCCCACAGACAAATTCTAAGCTCCATAATGTACTCATGCAATTTTAGCCTAAATGAAGAAATGTAGTATTTCTGCATTCCCAATTTACTTCCACTATTCCCCAAGAAACATGAATCAGTATGATCAAATTAAATTAATTACTTTGAGTGTGGCATCAATTAAGCGTAAGTATGAAACAAAAATTTAAACAAAACAATTAAATATGCTTATAATTTTATGTGACTACAACACTGTGGTCACTATGTATCTATCTTGGGAGTGTAAATTTCCACTACATGGGCATCAGACATCATTTCTTTAAAAAGATTGAAGCAAACTTTTGGCCCAGTTTGTACTGACAGCCACCATACCAGTGTTCTATCCTCCAGTCTTCATGTCACAGAGGAGTTAACAGTGAGCACTATCAAATGATTTGTACTGTCGGAATGTATACAGCAAACCATTGTTGTAAAGGACTGATAGCGGGAACAGCATGTCATCAGTGCTGATGTAATATATAATTAAGTGAAAGGGTATTCAAAGAAGTTACACCATATGATACATAGCCAGTATACACAATAAGCATAAAAACACATAATTACATAACAGTTTCTATATTGGAGTTCTTTTTCATTTTAAATTGTTTTCTAACTACAAAATATTCTTAGTGCCTAATATCTCTATAAAAATTCACAATTGTATACAGCCAGATTCTGTCTGTTATATTCGAAATCATTATGTCTGCATCCATATTTGTGTTTCATTTTTCACTTCTTAATAACACTTAGTTTTATGATAATGAAATTATTATTATTATTGTTAAAGACACTGTCCCTCTTCTCGGTGCACCCTTGCTACCAACATGGTGGGTAAAGATCTTGACATATTTGCAGACTGAGCAGTTTCTCTGAATCATATTTTACAAGCATGTACCAAACCTTTTACGGTGTTACTTGATTAGTGTTTTCATTAACTACAAATGTGTATACCTCGGCTAACTTTAATTTTCTTATGTAATTGGTTTTAATTTATTGACTTGTTATTAATTTATGCTATCACTCCCAGTTGTCTTATCTTAGTATTTAGTTACTAATAGTATTAGCAACACTCGTAATATTTCATAAATGTATGTATATATTTCAGTCTTTAGATTTATGCTCACAGATTTGTCATATTTGTATTTTTTAATTATTTTCTGTACCTTATATACTCGTGCTAACTTTGTAATTGGCCACTGTGCTGTTAAGTTATCGCACGTAAATAAACATGAATTGAATTATTATCATTTATTTGCTTGTTTGTTTACTTTTCTTCATTATTGTTTTTTCCCAAGTAATTGCCTGTAATTTGTTTTTGACATGTGTTTGTCTATAATGTAATTACTTTCATCTACACTGTGCTAAGTCTGTAATTGGCCTTGCGGCTGTTGACTTGGCACATAAATAATAAAGAATTGAATTGAATTATAATGAGGGTTTTCTGTGTTTAAATGGTGAAATCAATTGGAATCATTCAAATGATGGCAACCACAGTTATTACAAATAGTATGAAAACCGTGTCTAAATTATATTTTTATTATAAGGTACAAATACACTCTTGATTTCTACAGCACATTTACAACTTTGGTGATGAGTTTGTACACCTAAGAACTTCATTGTTGCTTCTATGAGTTGAGATTGATGAGTCAGTATAGTGACTGGCTGTGGGCTATATGGTTGGAGTTTAATTATAGGAAGTAAACAAGGCAATGCATGCAGTATGGTGAATGGCTACAAGCTGGATGGCCATGGTCCATTTATAAGGGGTGAATGGATGTAGGCCAGTCACTATAATGACTGGTTAGTGGCAGGACAAGTGAGTGGATGGGTGGGTTTGTGTGTCAGTGCCTGTGGCTATATGGATCTTGATACAAATTAAAATATTGTTAACAGATTTGATTAACGCATTGCTAGGCAGCAGCTCTGTACATGGTCCAGCATGCAACATTAGATGAGGCTGTGTTTTCTATGTCATTTGCACCAAGCATAGATGGAACAAAGCAGTTGTGCAACCTGCTTCTAGGCAACGGCTCGATAAATACAGTTCTATATATCGGACCATGCTATAAAAGCGGTGATGTCATAAATAGTAGAGACGGTGTTTTCTGTGGAGCCTGTGCAGAGTGCTTATAACGGAGTGAATACAGAAACAATTTCAGTTCATGGCAGTTACGAGTTAGTTATAAGCTGGAGGAGTGAGTTCAGAAGAATTTTTAGTTCTGAGGTTCCAGAGTGACTGAAGAAGAAACAGTAAGAAGACTTCATAGTGATTTGAAGTGCTAATTTCTGTGCTGAGATATTTAATAATTCAATCCAATATTGTAATTTTCCTGTTGTTTTGTATGGGTATGAAGCTTAGCATGTCACTTTAATAGAAGAATGTTTGGTTGAGGACAGGGTGCTGAGAATATTTGAACATGATGAAGTAATGGAAGATTGTGAAAATTGAATGGGTGGCTTCATAATTTGTATGCTTCACCAAATATTTTTAGGGTTAAAATGAAGAGATGAAATGGTTGGTATGTAGCATACATGGAATAGGTGAGAAGAACATGTAAGATTCTGACCGAAAACCCTGAGGAAAAGAGTCTACTTGGAAGAACCAGGCACAGTTGAATATTAAACTCTTATCTTAGGAAATAGTGTTGGATGGCATGAACTGGATTTATTTGATTCAGGACAGGAACTGTGGTGTGCTCTTTTGAATACTAATTAATCTAGGAGTTCCGTAAAATGTGGAACCTTCTTGACTAATTGTACAATTATTAACTTCTCAAGTAGGGCTTTGTTTCATGTAGACTCAGCTTGATTTTAATTCTTTCCTTGAGAGACAAATATTCTCTCTGATTAATTAAGCATTATGCCCTGAATTTATATGGGGGTGTGAAGATGTAGCTTCTTGCATTCTTAGCCTGACCATTAGATGGAGATAGAGAAAGAGTATATAAAAGATTTAAATGCAGGATTTCAGTACAGTGAAGGTTAAAAAGTGGAAGCACAGAGATACTGCAAAATATGTTGTCATACAGGGGAAACAAAGTGTATGTTCTTCCTCATGTCATTACCTTTGAAATCTTGGCTACAATAAAAACTTCTTACACCAATTAATGAATAAAGCAAACAGTTTTCCTAGCTTATTTTACAGTGATCATTTTCAGGTATTTTAACTACAGTACAAGAATTTTATGCAAATAATGATGTTGCAAGTCTTCTCTTGACACAAACATCTTTATTAATAATGAAAAAATATATTGTTATATACTAGTGTAACATTACAGTTACTGACAAATAATGGACATGTGTGTCAGGGGCCAAGGACATAAAACACTTCATTGGCGCCTGTGATTCATGCACATCATGATGGCTGGCATTATGAAAATTAGAACATAACGAAATCATTAACGTGTAATGTATTGCATTTTACATATTAAAAATAACACTGAGCTGCTCCTCATGTCAGTTAAGGTATTCACCAAGGTACCAAAAAATATGTTGAATATAAATAATTCTCTATTTTATATAAAATAATATGAAAACCATTCCAGGCCAGCTAAGCAATATGAAGTGTGAAGGCCAGGTCACAGTGGATTATAACTGTTTAATTCATATAAAAAGGTAATTATTCCCTTGTGAATAATATGATAGAATGCATATCATGATTCATTAAGAATTTCCAGTTTTTACGGTTGCTGCACTTATGGATTAGACACAAAGTGACACAAAGTGTCACAAAGTCATCTTCTCTATGTGTTTTTTTGCTGATGAAGCATGCCGATTTTGATCTCTTACTGCTAACATTGCTTAATTGTGAATATAATTGTTTTCATACAAAATGAATAATTTATTTCACAACCAGATGATTTTTATGATTTCACTGAATATTCCCGCACCTAACATGGAATAAAGATTAATGTATGTAACTGACGGCCTGTGATAACTGATTAACAAGCAGAATTTGTAGTTAACTTAAAAAATAAGTAGTAAAGAATTAATATCCCACTCAATATTAATTATTACATCTGATTACATAATTGAAATAGAAGATGAGTTAAGTTAAAATTCAAATAAATATTTCACAAATATATAATTTTGTTTTCAGCTGAGCAGCTAATGGAATAAGCAAAAAAAAAAAGAAAACTACTTAATATATGTTTTGATTTTATACTGTCAACATCACTTACAGTAAACTTGCAGTGAGATGTCAATGAAAACATTGATTCTTCTAATGACATAGGCTGCAATTTTTTAACTATGTGTTTTTCATTCCCTAAATGAGAATGAAGTATCTTTGTCACTTTTAAGATTACTTGGTAGATCAAAATTTGAGAAAATAACTACACAGAAATTACTGATATATTTTTTTTTTGTTCTAGTGAGTTATTCACAGACCAAAAAGGATGCTGCTGTCTAGTGTCTGCTATTTCAAAAAATAGCACAAAATATTCTAAGAAAAATTTAACTTGATAGCACCATGCTAGTTGACTGAGTTGAGTTCAATAAGAAAAAACAGACTACCATTTGTTACTTTTTGCTTGTCACACTTCCATCTCTGTTTCCATGTTGAACCTTCATCTTGACATAACATGTAGAGAAAAGCAATATAGTTTTATGTTGCTAAACATTCTAAATTAGCAACATTTCACCATTCTACATAGCTTCCTTTGTTCTAAATGTTAAATATTCCACATAAAGAAACACTGGTTTTCAGTTCTACTGAAATATTCATATTCTTCAAATATACAACCTGAAATAAGAGAAAACAAATATATATTTTCTTCATCAGAACCAGACAAACAAAATCAACAAGAACTTTGTCCATAGTGAATTATTTGTATTCATGAACAGAAGAAGTGAATAATTTAAATATTCAACTTTCTGTAAAGTTATGTGCATTGCCTACAAATATCTAGTTCAGCTACTTGCTCCATTAGTTTTGGAGGTAAAATACTTGCTCTAAATTCACATATTCAACATATAATTAGGGAATAATAATGCCACGCTTTCATTTATGTTGCTTGCTGTATATCAACTTACTAATCAAATGGCTGTTTTGTTTAATGTTCGATGTTTTGCTGAATCATATTCTCCCACTGTGCAATCAGTGCATTCTGTTTCCGGATTGTCCTGAAGGATGGCTGGAAGAGAAATAATCACAGTTTTCATTAAAATATCTTCTTATATTGTTGGATTATTCTGCATAGTTAACTTGAATCTGTCCTGTTTACAAATATAACGTGTAATTAAATTTAACGAGCATATACAGCAGTGTGTGAAGACATTAATAATCCTTAGCTGTGTAAAATTATGTTTTAGGGGAGTTACTTTGTTTAACCATACATTCCTAACCAGAAATTTGGTAATTCCATAATATTGTCACATGTAAGAAATGACAATAAAGTGAATTTAGATTGGTGACTGGATTTAATGACCACTTAAAAATGGTAACTACAAGTAATTATAGTGCCATTGCTAATCTCCAGAATTTACAGATCACTAGAGCACACAGTCAGTCTTATCAGCCTGCTTTCACTAGTTGCTCCCTGGTAACAGACCTGGACAGTGTCCTCTATTAACAGCCTTACTGGCTGGCGAATATCCCACAACTAAGCTGTAAACTTCGTCCTGCTTATAACCCTTTGGCAGAGACCATGTAGAAAACACAGCTCTTTGTTGTTGTAGCTCAACTGTTGCTTGTCAGGAATCCATCGCCTAACAGCAGGTACTTTTTTACAGAGTCATTACTAAGCAACAGGTCTACATGCTACAATATATTACAGAATTATAATGTTTCAACACTGTGGATATGAGCTAACAGTTGCTGCAAATGTGTTCATCCCATAGGAATGACAGACTATGAATAACTATTTTGTCTTCCTAGTAACATATTTATCCATTTACTGCATCTGATGTAGCAGAACAGTAGATGTGTGTTCCTTGCTATGTTAAGCATACTTCAATGGGCATTTAAGTAACTGATATGAAGCACCAGGATACAGTGAATTTAAAAGTGCATTAATGGTTAAAAGGTTATGGTGAACTTGAATTCTTGCATTGCTGTGAACAGAGCTTGAAATGAGGAAAGAGAAAATATACAATGGCTTGTGCATAATTTAAACATATACATAAACATAGACCAAAATAAAACTGGAAGTCAAATAATTGTGTTCAAGAGATCAAAACACACTGCATGAAGTTGCAGGGCAATAGTTTACTACATAACCACAGAAGTAACAACAGTAGCCCTGACTTCAAGCATGCTCACAATATATACATGAATTCTATGATCTGAAGTTTATCTTTGGGAACTGAAGTTTTAACTGCATGTGTTTGTCCGTTCTGAAGTCCTTTGATGATGAAAGAACTATTCTTGTATACATTTCTGTTCAGATTCCTCCAGAGATAAAAGTACTAAATCTAGGAGTCCTTTGCTGCCTGTTCTAGCCTTAGACACCTGGGGTATAGAGACCATGAGCTTGTGAGCAATAATTGCTGTAACATAATGCTGGAAATACCCGCATTACCTATCATAATGATCTATAGAGATGAAATAAATACATACATACATACATACATACATAAGTTGTTGAATTGGTGAGGAAGGTATTCAATATTTGGCTCATACATGAGTCTGAATTTGCTGCTTGCTGAAGGAATAGGTAAATAATTTGCCATGAACTTGCACCTCACTATTACAATTATTTATACTGTACAGAGGAAACTCATGAATGGCATGAGGATTCATTTCATTTCATGTTCATATATTTTGCATACCAGTGTGGCAAATAAGGTAAGTCCTTATCAGTTATGACCAAGAGCTTTAAACGCTTATAATGTTCTTCACCATATTTTCTTATATGTAAGCCTACATCTAGTTTCACTGTATTTCATAGAGTACAACCTTCGTATAAGATCCTGTGAAACATCGTATTTAAAGAGAAGACCTTGATACTTAAGGCATAATATGCTTATTAGAAACTAGGATTAAATTCATACAGAGGCCACTTAGCTCTTTTTTAAATAGTTGAGATTATTCTTGATCATGCTGCTTCAAATAACAACAGACTAATATGACAGAATAAATGTAACCCCTCAGAAGTATACCCAGCTTGAGAACAGAGCAGAAGGACAGTTATCCACATTACCATGAAGACTGTTCATCTTGTACTGCAAGTAGATGTCTATTCTTCAGCAACAAAGCTTATTCACAGACTATCTGAATTATATTTGGATTTCATGGCCCTTATCTGGCTGTGTTTAACCACAGTGTGTATTTTGTTTTCTTTGTCAGAATAAATAAATACAGAAAAATATGAACGAGTTAAAACAGAGGAAATCTTTTCTCTTAAGGTTAAGAGAAACTAACTTTTATGGATGAAAGTGGCCTTTCTCAAACCCCGGACTAGATACCTAAAGTTGACTGAGTTTGGGGTGTACTAGAGTTATCGATACTTGATCTTTCCTACGTACCTTAACCTCTTGGATCACAAAAGTAACACCGTATAATCTGGTAGTTTGGTACATAATCAATTACCCATTTTCACCTTGAATATGAGACAGTATGTTCTTTGTAATGTTCATCTTCACTTGTCAGACTGCACAATGTCATAACTCAGAAGACTACAATATCTACCACACAAGTTCTCCCATCTATAAAATGTGTATACCTACTTTCAGACTAACCAGCCTAGCACAGACCATGGTGGTCAAAAGCTGTACGCCACAAATATGACAATGAAGATCAGTTATTAAGCACTTATTTGGATTGTTTAGCATGTTTATAGTTGCAAGTAAATGCTGAGATTTGAGTCCATCCATTAGTCACTCAGTTAAGAATGACTCTCAAGCTCAGATTTGCATGCATCAAGCCCAAAATTTATAGTTTTTATTTAATTATGATATTAAGAAATGAACAAGACCTTGTCTACTGAGTTGCTGTCACCATTAGGAGTTGTTTCTGAGTCCAATAAATTAGGGTTTGACAAAGCAGTGCGAAGAGGGATGTGATTCTCCATGTCTCTATCTATGGTGTGGCCCTCCTCTTCCTCTTCGTCCCCAAGGCACAGCAGATTTGGTTGAGACCGTGCAAACATTCGAGCACGTTGCAGTCTGTGAAAATTAAAAAAATGAATCTTTAATTTTTGTGGAAATTTAAATAGTATTTAGTAAATAAAATGCTACACTTTTGTTTCTTATTCACGCACATAGTTATTCTTCACATGTCAAAATGCCAAAGAAAATATTTTGAGCTAAGAAAGTTTAAGGTAGTGAGATAGGATGTAACATATAGGGGAACATCATAATGTTCACAAGTGATCTAATAGACAAAGGGACCCAGAAAATGCATGTACACATCAAAATTCAAAATATCTGCTTACATAATTTACTGGTAATCCAAACTTTATCTGCACAGAAAGAGATGGCTGCAACACATGTTAAGCTAGAACAAGTGTTCAAAGTGTCCACCATTAGCTTGTAGACACTTCTGGGTTCCGTCAACTAATTCATGACCAACAGTGGCAAAGGTGTCAACTGGGATTGTGGCAAGCGATGTTTCAGTTTTTTACAGTAAAGTCTCTAATGTCGGTGGTTTTCTATGATATATCATATCCTTCAGGAACACCCACATGGTAAAAAAAGTCGAGGGGGGTTAAATCAGGTGAGTGTGGGGGATACTCAGCACTATCTCCTTGTCTTATCCATTGACCTGTTAGGGTATTGAGATAGCTTCTGACATCTCAATGACAGTGTGTTCATGTGCCATCTGCTAATGTCTGATAGTGTAAACTGTTCCAACACAATATTAGTAGAGGGGGGACTCATTGTTGTGCAAGGCCTCTCAGATCTTTGCTTGTCCACATCATACACTGTACCACTGGCCTCAAGTCTATCATGAATGCAAGCTTATTAATTGGGTTGGAGGTTCCGTTGCCAATTCACGCTGCCGCAGTCTTTGTACTTAGCACACATTTCCAAATTTCCAATACTACAACAAAATTTTCTGTTCCTTGAATGATAAACGTTCTGCCATTCAATAAGGTGACTCTGGCATTCATATGACTGCTGGGAATGGTGTTGTGGCAAAAGGAAATTAATAAATATTGTAACGTGTTTACGTTACTGAAGACGCCATAGAGATGGTTAATTGGTTTATTTAACAATCTACAAACAACGGCTACAATTAATTATCACAATATTACGTGTTTCCACACTTTACAAACCCTACAACAAAATCTCTTAACATGATCTTCACTTGTCTTCACGTACTAATAACGCGGGAGCTATACAAGTCTCCCTGAATTACACACTCCAGATATAACTGGTTATCCCGAACTATCACTGATTCTCGCACACGCGTCTGTAGCTCGTAACTTGCGAACTGAGAACTCGTTGATAGCACACTGCCTCTCGCTTGCTGCTCAGCCGGCTTTTATTCCGTTCGCTGTTGCTAGTGTGACGTGGAGTATAGCCTAGCACGCTGTTACCCCTTGGTGACGTCACCGCTGTTGACTCGCTTTGCATAGCTTTCAAGGTTGCGGGGACTCGGCTAACGTCGGCTCCGCTCGGCTCACTTCGGCTCCGCTCGTGACGTCACCGCGGGGAGAGTTGTGGGGTTACTACTCGCCTATTACGCGATCGCTACGTTACCGCTACGTGCACCTGGGGAGGTAGGGGTCAACATGTCACAATATTATCTGTTTTAAACTTACAATCTCAATTCTGCAATGGGTCCTAATATAGTCCATATTTAATACATTTTTGAGGCATTATCTTCAGATAAAAATACATTGTTAAGAATGAATCCATTTGCCCATGTGAGAAATTTTGAAACACTTCAATTTTGCAGTTTTGTATATATTCATATACAATTACTTCAACTCTGTTCACACATTTTAGTAGTACTTACATTGCTCTTTTGGGGAAATATGTGGCAGAGTTTTATAAAACAATGATGTGTCACACTGGTGTTTGTTAGTGTTGCAAATGACACTGTGGAACTAACTGATACTAAGTGAAAAGTGCAACAGGATGCTATAATATAATATTAGTAGAACACTAAGTTACTACTATCCACCAAGATGCAGAGATGGGCATGGCAGTATAAAAAAGAGATTTTATTCAAAAACTTTTTCAGAGACTAGTGTTTTCTCACGGCTTTGAATACATAACTATATATATTCTTTAATAAAAACATTTTGTTAAAATATTCTTCAGTGAGACTGGTGTTTCCTGAGGACTTCGAATACTTCACAGAATTGCTGGGTTTTTGGTCTTTTTCCATTGTCCGGTATTCTAGGAAATAGAAAACATGACGTTTTGGAAACTAGATATGTTTCCATTCTCAGGTGAGGGGGATGGGAGAAGACACCTGCTCAGTTGGGCTCCTTAGAAAGAACTAATTGCTGGTGATTGAGATTAGCGCCTCCCCACCCTCCTTTTAGAAGATAACATAATGAATGGTGGAAAAAGGATTTATGATTATGGCCTAGAACAAAGCAGCAATTACAACAGAATTCTCCAAATGGAAAACAGTATGCGATGTGTGCAGTGAAACCAAAGTGCCACTGATTGTTTTCTTCAATTACAAGGTTTGTTGTGCACCATGAATTTGCTCCACAAGGTAATTCTATTAACAAATGTTTCTCTTTACATGTGATGCAACATCTCTATGATGCAGTGCATCATAAACATCTGCAAAAATGGGAATCCAGTTGAGTCATAAATTTACCATTAATAATGTTCATGCCTGCCCAGCCCAGCTTGTGCAGTAGTTTTCAGGTAAACACAGTTTTCCATTAGTGAGACAGCATTCCAAATCACCATACTCACCCTATGATGTTTTTTATATCCCTAAACTTGGGGAGAGAGAAACTAGAAAGGCAATAGATTTGGTGATTTGGAAACAATTTTACATAATGCAATAGAACAGGTGTTCATGATGGTAAAAATTTAGTTTAAAAGATGCAAGCGTGTACAAGCTGAAGTAGCCTCTTCTGAATGTGATTAAACTTCTATCCCTGTAAATTATCTTAGTTTTAATGGATTAGTATCTATGTAAAATAGTAATGTAATAGGAATTTGTCAAAGCAAAGTCTGTATATTGGGGTCCCTGTAATTACAGTTTCCCAGTTTCCTTAATTTACATAGGTTTACATATAAATGCAAATAAATATGATTTCATTTTTATTTATACAGGACAAAATCAAATTAAATATACCTCAATTCTTCCTCACGTTTTTGCATCTCTTGCATTTCCACCTTCATCTTTTCTTCAGCTGAAATATATCCTCGGCGAAAAACTGCTCTCTGAATGTCTCCATTCTCTCTTTCATCGCTTTCTTGTATATTCTGCTTGATGAAGATAGAGATATTATAAAAACTGTAGCTATTAACCCACTGTTTTCTGTGCTGATTTAGATATTTAATATTACAGAACAGGCTCACTCAGCCAATTTAATCAATTATGTCAGTAGATTTAACATTCTATTTTATAACCATGTCCAATGACTGGGTTATTTTTATAACACAACATTGAAAAACATCTGTGTGTCTGTGTGTTCACACACAAGCACGCACGCGCACACATTTATTTAATGATGATGTCAGTAACTCAGGCTATGTAATATCAGATGGTAGGATTAATTGGAAAGGATGAGAAAGGATATGGTTGTGGCCTAATCTGGGACAGTATCCCACAATTTGCCTCAAGAGACTGACAAAAATCACAAAAACCACTCTCAGAATAGTCAGTGTTCCAGTCAACTCTCAAATGCAAGTTAGAAGAATCACTGCATGAGCCAACTTGTTTGGCAAAAGAATGGTTTAATTTACTACTAACTACATGCAAAGCATTGTAGGGATACATAGAGAGTTGTTGTCTGTGAAACTGCATCTGTCATTTTACATATAAAATAGTTGCATATTTAACACCTTGCTTAATTTCCATGTTTAAATGGGCCATAAAATTGAGAATACTTTAAAAAGCCAATAGATCAAATGAAGTATTAGGGTACAATTGGGCTACAGAATAAGCCCTTGAAATTCTCTACACTTAAAATTATTTGTCAGTACTCACCTGCCGTTCATCAAGTGACATGTCTGCCAGTTTGTTGGTTGTAACAGGAGGTGCAGGAAGTGGTCCTGGGGTGGGTGATGTTCCAGTAACAAAGCCAGAGCTGAGAGTACCTATCTTTCCTCGAGTAGCCAGAAATCTCTCCATCAGTCCCTTTTGTCCCAAACTGCTGGGAAACTTCCGTGGACTGAGTGTTGGGGTGCTGGGACTCTGTGACATGGTTCGTCCAGCAGTTCTGTGGCCTCTTGCTGAACCAATATTGTTCTGAATTTTCTGTACAAAAGTATGAGAAATGCTGGTTTGTCCATCCATCTCATCTACAGATTGTGGAACATGTGATGTAGAGATTGACTTCTGAAGTTTACGATCTTGCTCCTCAATGGCAAATTCTGCCAAATCTGTGAACCGTGTTACCTGAAAAGTGTATGCATATGTGTAATAATTTCAATCATTGCTTTACTTTAAACCATAAGCTCTCATAACCCAGCTGCTGTGTTCAAACATTTTAAGTGTGTATATTATAAAGTCATGGTATAATGTTTTAACATAAACAGCAGCTCTCTTTTTTCCATATAGAACAGATTTTTTCATGTAAAGAAGAATATATGTTATAGTGAATTGCAGATGCATGCTGATTCTTCTATAATTTTAAACATATACATGATAGGAGGGTTAACAATAAGAGTTCGAAGTTAATAGTCTAGGTGTTGGGAGTGATGTAAAATAAATCACAAAAGAAGAAGAGGAAGAAGCAGAAGAAGAACCAACAGAAGTAAAGAAAATTTCTTTTTCAAGAAATGGTATCTCTGTTGACCCAGTGCATATTAAAGCATGCGACTTTGCCAGTAATATGTAATACCATCATTTTGATTCAGTTCAGTTTGTATTAGCAGTAAATGCTTTGCCAAAACAACATTTTATTTCTTTGTCAAAATAAAAGAGATTTGAGAGCAGATAACCAATGTTAAAATGATAGTGAAACTGAAAAGAGCAAGGAAGGTATTATGGTATTTTTAAAAAGCAACCAGAAATTTATGGAAATGAAACAATATATACAGCACAGGCTTTTTTATAGTTAAGAAGTTTCAAATAGGAAGTGAATAAGTTAATAATGATGTCCTGGAAATTAACAAACTAACCAACCAACAAACTCCATGGTTCTGAGTTGTTCTTGAGAAGCCACCAGTCACTCAGCTACTCAAGAATTTCCCACCATTTTTAGGAACCCAAAATATCATATTTGTATTCACAATAACCTGCCACTGGTCCAGATGAAACCAGTCCATAACACCCCAGTCTAACAAATTAATTAAACAAGAACAGAGAAACTATGAAGGTGCACTTCGGCCACAGATCTGAATGAGAAATCATATGCAAGATTCTGCTGAAGAATCTCAATGACCAAGCAGAACTGAGCTTTTGGAAGAAAACGAGCTTATGTAGAAATATTGTGCTAAAGTGAGTGTGTAACCTGATCTTTCAATATTATGCAAAGCAAAATGCCAGTCTCCAATGGAAAATCAAGGGTCTCCCACATAAAAAATGATAAGAAAAGCGCTCATGTCAAAGTTGAAGGTCAAAAACATCCTTATCTGCTTACTTGATCTGATTTCATCTGATTTATTAATTTCTTATCTGTTTAATAATGCTGTCAGTAGCTCAGACAATACAGTGTAAAATAGTGAGATGACTATTGAATGGGAAAATTGGAAAGAAGATAAAAGTAAAATGGTCGTGGCCTATTCCAGGGCAATAACCTGGAATTTCCCTAGAAGAACCAATGAAAATCACGAAAAACCTCAACCAGGACAGTTGGTACCCAGGCTGGAATTCTAATTGGGCACTTCCTGGATAAAAACGTTAGAAGCATTACCACTTGAACGAACTTGCTTGGTTACCTTCTTCTTATATCAAGGAACTGTCTATTACAAATAGTACTTTTGCAATGAACAACGAATCAAGCATTGTACCTTCTAGTTTTGTAATGCTTATGAACATGAAATGACAGAAATTATGATTGGTTCAACAAATGTTTCTGTGTCACACATATGCTCCTTCACCACCAGTGACCAGTGCTAAACCAATCAATAAGAGTACTCTCTACAAACTTTTCCATAAGATTTTCTGATGGTCACAAAACTGAAATTTTAACTGAAGGACTCCCATTTGGAAACTTTTTAAGACATCCGAGAATGCTGTTGAAAAGAGTTGAAATGGTCATTATAAAATGATTTTCAGTGTATTTTTCAGAAGAATCAGTGGCTTGCACATATTTAGTCAGAAAAAGGTCAATGAAACATCACTAATATGTGTTTACAGATGGGAAGGATTAATCTGAATTAACAAAAACCCAAATTATGGAACATAATTATACCTAAATATTTTGAAGTCATAGTTCATAAAATCAAGCAAATTTATTCAAAATCCAGGAATGTATATTAACTTAGTACTGTACAAGCATAGTCATGCAGATCTTTCTTAATTTCTGTTGGAAGGTTTCTTTAAAAAACATAAAATTGTACTGTTTTCAGTATGAGTAAGATTTTACATATTGCAGCGTGCGGAAACTTTGCTGGGTAATGACTGGGAAAGAAACCACAGAACAAGGCTTGCTGCTAGGCAGCAGATTCATAACATGCAACAACTGAAGTACAACATTGTGGAACTGTGTTTTCTGAGTAGTCTGTGCTGAGCTTTTATAACCACGTCAGTTTGGAGGAACAGTTGAATTGTGGGATATTTGCCAGACAGTAATGACATGAGCACAAAACCTGAAGAAACTCTGTTAGAAGCCATTCCCAGGAAACGACTAGTGCAGACTGTAACAGACTAAGAAGGCTTAGCAGGTGCTGTACAAGTAGTTATTTGTAAAGTGTGGAGATTAGTGATGGCTCTCAGCTTCTGTCTTCACATCCTTACTGGCTGGTGACTACCACACAACTGACTAAACTCTAGACTTATCCTGCTTATAACATCTCAGCACAGACCGCACAGAAAACACCTCTTCCAACATTTTTTTCATTGTTGTGTCATGTAGCTGTCCCACTTACTGTGTAAAAATGCCGCCTCCTAGTTACTCTACTGGTGGATGTTAGGAATCTGTTGTGGACATTAGTTAGCAATGGATCTATATGGTTATTCTTATAATTATAGTAAAGTAAAGTAAATTAAAGTCAAGGACCCATAGGGTTGTGAGACGTCGAGGGTCCCACATTATCTAGACAATCGGCTCACAGATGGTGGTAAGGTTGTCAGCCTTACGTGCTGGCCACACTTTACTCCCTAGGAGAACTATTTAATAAATTCCTTGTACTCATTTCTGTTAGAGGCTGAGTCGACCCTAGGGCCATAGTGCAGCTGGAAGGATTAGGTCAACTGAAAGAAATCCAGTGACCTCATCGGGACTTGAGAGCATGATTATTATACATTTCAAAGAAAAAATTATTATTTATACATTGTTTAATATGTGCTTCAAAGTAAAAGTGTAACAGATCAGTATATTAGCTTAAGTGTGTGGAACAACTACTCCCAGTCTTTGAAAACTTCTCCTTGGCAGTTTGCTCTCAGACACCCACAACCTATGCTCTTCTCCCTATGTGGAAACCCATATAAAAACAAGTAAAATTACAGGTCTGTGTATCTTATCTCTGTTATTTTTAAATAAGAGATGCAAATACAAAAGATAATTATAGAGTATTGTAAAATCTTTCTGATATATTCTGTGTTATGCTGTCCACTAGAATCCATGTTTGGTTATTGCTTTTACCAATGGCTGTAAGGAATTGTAAGATTATTTCTAATTTGATCTACAGTAAGAAATATACCAAACTTCTCTCTAATTTTTTAGCATTTTCTTTTGGTACTAACCCTGCATTAAAAACGCAAGGAAGTAACGCACTGCAAACAGACACAAATATTCTAATTTGTTTTCTATACACTCCAATTATTATTTCACTGCTTACTTGTGCAATATAAAATATAACAAATGTTGCTTATTTTTCTTTAAGAATTATAAAATACTGTGGCATATTTGCTCAAGGCAAGAACTGTGAAGCCAGCAGAGACAGTTGTTACTGAGTAATGGCTTTTTTTTAAGTGGTCTGTGCTGAAGTGTTTTAAGGAGGACAAGTCTAGAGACAGTCAATCAGTTAGTTGAGAGTTGCTGTAGCTGATGCAGGGACAGTTTTGGAAACCAGAGGAAGGGAAAGTCCACTGATGGAAGCTGTTACCAGAAGACTGGTGATGACACAGCAGGCTGCGAAGATGCAAGCATGTGCTCTAGTTAACTGTAAAGTGCGTGAATTAGTGAAATGGTTATAATTACTTGTAGTCACGGATATACAAGAGTTAAATATATTCAATTACCAATCTAAACCACATCTACTTCACTCCATAGCATTACAATATGATCTTTCCAGTACAATGTTAAGTGTATGATTGAAAGTTTACCTATAATTTATATCACGCTTTCTGGTAGGTTAAACCTTTCTGTACTATATGTGTTATAGAACTTAGAAGCACTGGAATTTGCAGGCTGAATTTATTTGGTACTTGAGATCAACAAAGGAAGTCTCTCTTAATCTCTCAATAATATAATTTAAAGAAGCTAAATTATATGATATCATGGAATAAAGTAAGAGAAAAGCACTGTTGTAAATAGAAACTAACATGGAGAAAGGTTAAGAGATACATTCTTGCCAAAATATATGAAATATTAACGCACATACTTTTGAATCCACTGTTTCTTCAGACATAGTCTGTATCATGCCAGCTTCCTGCAGTTCTTTCTCACGTTCTGTGGCCTCATCTATCTCGTGTTGGATGCGACTTGTTGCTAGACGATGCTGGACACTTCGGGAATCATTAGTGAGTGTGTTTCTGCTATTAATTCGTCGAATCTAAAAAAAAAAAACAGCCTTAAATTTCCTACGATCTGATTATGATTAGTATTATTCCTAATTCATATGTACAGATGATGTGAATGTACTGTCTGATAATATATATACCATAAAGAAAAACACACTCACTTTAAGTGACGATAGTAAGGAGGTTGGCCGAGAAGTAAACAAAGATAAAGTAAGTATATGTTGTTGTCTCGTCACAAGAATGTGAGGCAAAATCATGACATAATGATAGCTAACAGACGTTTTGTGAATGTGGCACAGTTCAGATATATGGGAACAACTATAACAAATCAAAATCTGATCCATGAGGAAATTAAGGGGAGATTGAATTCTGATAATACTTGCTACCATTCAGTCAAGAACCTTCTGTCTTCTCATCTGCTGTCTAAAAATCCTGTTGGTCTGTGCGTGGTGATGGTGGTGGGGTGGAATGAAACTTGGTCTCTGACATTAAGGGAGGAACATAGACTGAGTGTGTTTGAAAACAGGGTGCTGAGCAGAATATTTGGATTGAAGAGAGATGACGTGATGTGAGGTTGAAGAAAACTGCACTACGAGGACCTTCATAATTTTATATTCTTTGCCAAGTATAATTAGAATGATCTAGTCAAGGATGGTGAGATGGGCAAGGCATGTAGCACGAATGGGGGTGAAGAGGAATGCATGTAGGATATGGGTGAAAAAGCGAGAAGGATAGAAACCATTAACAAGACCAAGATGTAGGTGGGTGAACAAAATTAGAATGAATCTTTGAGGGAGAGAATGGAATGATATGAATTGGATTGATCTGGCTCAGGATATGGACCAGTGGAAGGCTCTTCTAAACACAGTAATGAACCTTCGGTTCCACAAAATGCTGGGAAGTTCTTGAGTAGCTGCACAATTGGCAGCTTCTCAAGAAGGGCTCAGCTCCATGAGTGAGTGAATTCATATATTTAGTCCCTTCTCAAACTGTAACTGAGGGTAGTTGTAATGATACCAATATCAAAATTGTATGTAATATTTGACTTACAAGATAAATTTGAAACACATATTTTGACAGTAAGATAAAAAAATTGATTTTTTTTTATGTAGCAGACTGAAACTCATATTGTGACATGACGCCTGAAAGCCAGAATAGTGAAATCAGAGGCGATATTCTTTGCTAGGCAACTGCTCGGTAAACACATTCCTGTGGCAATCTAACAACTCCTGCTGCTATGCAATGGCACTGTATACATACCTTCTCAAAAATAGAAAGGGTGTGTTTCTCCGTGGTCCATTCCAAGAGGTTATAAAAAGGACAAAGAAGATCATTTGAGGTAGTTGGGTTCTGACATGCCAGCCTGCCAGGATATGAGCTGGGAAGCAGAGGAATTAGAATTGAGTCTCTGGAGTTGGCAAGCAAAGAATTAAACTGTGCAAAGAAGATTTCATGTGTCATTTGAAGTGACAGTGAGATAGTTATGAATCCATTACCAGGAAATGACTAGTGGAGAGCATAATAGACTGAAGACACTAGTGTGTGTAACAGTGACCTGTAAAGAGTGGGAATAGCAATAGCGTTGTATTGCCTGTAGTTTTGAGTGGAGTGTATAAGGTGTCAATAAATCCAGTCATCCCATCCAAAAACTGCACAACTCCATTACGCATGACAATATATAGAACTGAACTTATGTCTTTTTCACACATACCCATGGTAAGTTTGGTATACGTCACTTTCTCTGTCAACCCAAAAATTTCACTGTTATTAACAAAGCTAACGAGTTGTGAAGAACCTGCAATTTAACACAGGTTATGTGTAGCTACTGACAGTGTTGTAAATTGAATTGAATTTATTTGCATTCCATAGATCCTAAGTAGGTTAATACCTTTGGATATAGAACAAGTCAAAATAATACCTACTGGTACAAGTAATTTTATCTTAAACTAATATAGCTTAATTCTACATTATTCTCTATTTACATTGAGGTATTCATCTACAGAGTAGAAGGAATGAGCATGCAGATATTTCTTTAGCTCTGATTTAAAATGTATAGTATCATTACTCAAGTTTTTGATACTTTGTGGGAGACTATTGTACACTTTTATGCCAGAAAAGTAGACTCCTTTTTGATATAGTGAAAAGTTTGATGAAAGTAGATGGAAGTTATATTATTGTCTAGTATTCATGTTATGGATACTGGAATTTAATTCAAATTTATTTTTGTTGTACACAACAAATAAGAGAAGCAGTAGTATATATTGTGATTGAAGAGGTAGAATTTTTAATTTCTTAAATAAATCTCTACATGAATCTCTACTTCTCATTTTCATTCATTCATTCATTTATTTCAAATTCAGTAAATCCAAAACATAGGTTGAAATACAACCCTGGATATAGAACATGTCAATAATAATATTAAAATAAGTTCCAAACATTGAAACAGTCAAGATAAACAATAAAAACGATATAAAATAGTACACAGTGTAGATAACAATTTCATTAAATACAAACAAATTAAAACAAAGAATTTAAATTATCAATAACATGAATCTTCTATATACAATTCCACCCAAAATATATTAAGTACAAAAAATTATTATGCGCTTTAGTTTCAAGATAAATATAAACAATAAATATAACACCTCACATACCAGTTAAATATCATATATACCTGTCACAGTCATACAATAGTCTGAAATCATTTACCTAATTTAATGTAATCGTGTGTTAA